CCCCAAAACCCCAAAACCCCAAAACCCCACCTTACTTGAATTTTGTTGAAAATATATTTTAAAATATTCATTCCGAATTATATCAAGCATAAATGAGTGCAAGGAGCCTAACTTCAAAAGCTCTCTATATGGCTAGGTATAAGCGTAATATGTGACATCGAAATAAATTCAGCTTTTTTAAAGGTAAAAGGCGATCTAGGAAAATCTCGGGAAAGCAGATTCATAAACCCAGACATATCAAGTTCCGCCTTGCAGGGAGAGTTCGGAAGGAGATTATTACAGAAATCCAGGAGTCAACCATCTCTTCAATTCTGTCATCTCCACCTAAAAGGATCTTTAGTAAAGAGTTAAAAAGATCTATTGAGATTGTTGAGAAAGTTGTAGAAACTGACCAAGACTCGGAAACTGATAAACTTCAAGAAGAATTAGAACCTCCTGCTAGTCCAAAGCTTCAAAGACGTAATCAATCTCTAAAAGTAGCAGAAATTAGATCCAAGAGTAGAAATAACGAGTTAAAAAGTATTCATACCATCAAAGAAGTAGTAAAAGAAGAGAAAGCTCCTTTGGAAGAAACCAAGAAAAGTTGTCTTACATCATTAAAGCAAAGAATTGATTCTCAAGATCACCAGACTGACTGTAAAAAGGTACGAGTTTGTGTTTAATGATAATATTTCCCCATACTTACATCATAACTTTCTAGGCAAAAAATAAGTCTTCAAGAAGTCAAACACTGTATGATATTGACCCTAAAAGCCCTAATAGATTAGGAGATGACAGTACCATTAAAGAGCCGAACAAAAAGATTCTTCTTGAAGAGGAGTACCACCAGAAACACAGGAACTACCCTAGCTTAAAAAGATTTGGGCTGATCTCACTTGTCACTGAAATTGAAAGTAGTTCTGATGAGAGTCAATCTAGTGAAGAAGAGAAGAAGTCTGACTCAGATGATACTCCTTCCAAGAATTCAAGCAGGAAGATCATATTTTCTAATAAGAAAAACACTTCGTTTATTTTAAGCTTTAAGTGCTGAAAAAGTACTCTTCAGGTGACCCTGGATAGTAGTTATTACCCTCAGAGTGAGAATCAGAGAGAAACCCAAAGTTTTAGATGTTTCAAAGAGAAAGATACGATAACATATGATAATTTCAAACCCTTAAAGCTTCCTGATGGTCTAATCAAGGGAGATGACGATGAAGACTCAGAGCCAGAGGATGTCATTCGGGGCCAAAAGTTCCTGAAATTGCATATAGAATCAGAATTAGAAGCCTGAATTTTATACCTGAGGAAAAATAATTTCACTTAAAAATGATCCCCTTTATCACAGTTATTTTTGGAAATTTTGAAAAATGGCATAGTGCCGGAGATCTAGATTTGGCTTAATATTTAGAAAAGCAGTATCAAATTATAGATAATGGGCCCAAATGCAAAAATTACATTAGCTTGAGGGAGATTGTAAGGTCTTACGCAATCTTTCTTCGCCCACGTCTTCATAATACGCCAATATCTTTCAAAATTTTAGTGTGATATTTCTCCTCATCAGTCTGTCTCCTTCTCAAATGAGAAGGGGCTTTTGTTTGCTGTCTTATCTTATAAGCATAGGCAAGTATTGGGTCGTTAGGGTCATAATCAGGAATCCCAAGATCATCTTCTACTTTCTTTGGTTCTTCATTCTCTTTCTCTGGTAAGTTTACCTTGCTCTCAGCTGTATCGTCTTCAATTTCAATAACCTCGATTTCTTTTTCTACAGTAATCTTTTCTTGATCTTCCTTAATAATACAATGTAACTCATTCTTCAGACCAGAAGCTGTGCGGTCGCACAGCTTCTGAATCTGATGAGTCAAATTATTCTGTTCATGAAGCTTATCTCTCAGTATGGCTTTCTGAAATTCCTCTTCTATTTCTTCTTGCTTGCTATTTGGCAAGACGTGCTTCCGCCTTCGAATCTGAGGAGTGAATGGCTTCGGCTTTGGAGCTGAAGTGGCTGGGATTTTGTGAGAAGTTGTCCCAACTACGAGCTCAAATGCGTCGTTGCCATCATCAGTGTCGCTTGAGATCGTGATTTGGATAGCAGGAGGGGGAGACGAGGTATTGAGTGTCTGTTTGGGAGCAGGTGGAGAGGGCTGTTCTGGCCCTGACTGAACCAGTTTTCAAATACTTCGGTAGAGTAGTTTTTGATCGGTTTTTGGCATCCCGATATCTGTCCGCATCTTTTTCATCCTTTTCTTAAACCTTTTCTTATTAATATTATCTAATTTTAGCTTAGATACATCAATAAGCTGTTCAAGAGTAATATTGAGTTCCTTGAATTTCTCTGAATATCGATCTAGGCCACAGCTGAGAAGGACCTCGTGGATATCTTTCATTAAATATTTTCAATTAAAGCCTGATGAAAGGGGTTTTGGGGTTTTGGGGTTTTGGGG